TGTTCCCAGCATATCAGATGCTTTAGAACTCTGTTGTGACAATAATGGAGCCATTGCACAAGCAAAGGAACCCATATCTCATCAACGGTCCAAATATATTCTTAGGCGCTTTCATCTTATTTGAGAGATCATAGAATGAGAAGATGTGGAAAGATGCAGAATACAAACGGATGACAACATTGCTGATCCCTTGATGAAGCCTCTTACACAACAAAGGCATGATCATCACAATGAGTCACTCAAAATTAGATATGTGAGTGATTGGTCTTAGTACTAGTGGGTGATTGTTAGAGTATGCCCAAATACAATCATATGATGATTGTAATAATAAATTTATTTACCAATTTTATTGAATAAAGGCATTGCCACTATTATTTTCAGTTATATATTTGTGTTTAACATAAACTAAAAGATAATAAAGTCCATTTAATAACATTATTATTATTAAAAGATCTATAGTCAAGTATTATTATAGGCATGACAATAATAATACGCTTAAGACTAATATGTTATTGATTGATGACAACGAGATATCAAAATTGATACATGATTATATTGTTAGAGAATAATGTATTGGATTGACCCACCATGAGTATATGTCTTGGATTATTATGTGACGGTCATAGCATTGCTCATGGTGATGAATATGTATGATACTCAGACTTGAGATTAATGCTATCCTAACATATATCGTTGTATGTTTTGATACAGTTAAACATGCTCCGTAACTGGCTGCACTATAAAGACTATTATTGAATATATCTCGATATATGTAGTGGGGTGTGTATGATTAAGATAAGATTTGTCCTTCCTACATATTAGGAAATATATCATAGGCCACTTGATTAATTGAGACTATAAATGCATGGCCATTTTTGAATAAGTTGATATGAGATATCACAAATTATTCATTAATCAAAGTCTACTCTAGATATCAAGAAATAATAGATGGGCTATACAATTGTGACTATTCCAAGACTTGTGCCTATTCTAGATATAAAGGAAAAAAGATGTAATACATAAAAGAGTTAATCACTAAGTTCATAATTTCATGTAACTTTGGTGACAATGATATATTTCTAGATGTCACTCATTGTATGTAATATTAGAATTGTTATAATAATTACTACTAATGTTACAAGAAACAATAGGGTCATACCCTAGGATCGAAACGAGCAAAGATGTACAATTTGTTATATGTTACTAAAATATATCTATAGTTAATATATGTATATTTAATATACATATGATTTTAATTATCCAGAATATAGTAAGTAAACATTAAAAGAATGTAATTTTGATTACAACTCTTTTAATATATATTTAATTCAGAATAATAGTTTAAATAAACGTTAAAAATTGTAATTCAGATTATAAGTCTTTAATGGATATTTAATTTGAAATAATTAAATAAGATTTTAATTAATTTGAAATAACTTAAAATCCCTAATATGTTAGGGAAACTCGGTATTTAAAGTGAGGTAAGGTGTAGTAGTTGTTTCTTCTTCAACCGTTTTTCTCAAAATTGTTTTTGAGAAAAGTAAAATTTTCTTTCAATTGGGTAAACTGAATAAAGACCGAGACGTGTTTTTGTGGAGGCTTACGATTCGAACCGTTCGTGATCACCATTAGTCAATGTTGTCTTTGTTGTTTTTAAATAAACCCATTGTAAGTATTCACTTCCTTTCCCCTGATTTCAATTTTGCATACTTGGATAGTTGGTGAGACTGTCGATTTTTGTTTCCGCTACACCATGGGGTGCAACGACAGTCCCAACAGAAAGAGTTTATTATACATACGGATCATGAATCACTAAAGTGGTTAAATAATCAAGGTAAGTTAAGTAAAGGACATGCTTGAAGGGTTGAATTCATAAATTATTTCCCTTATGTGATTCACTTTAAACAAGGGAAATATAACATACTAGCCGATGAATTATCCCAAATGTACACACTTATTACTCAAATGCATGCTACAATTTTGGGATTTGAACATATTAAAGAACTTGACTCTTATGATCCAGTATTTTCTAATATTTACAACCATTCTTTAAAAGATGCTTTTAACATGTTTTATCTTTTAGATGGGTTTATTTATAGATTGAATAGGTTGTACTTTCTGCAAGGTTTGTTACGAGAAATATTATATCTTTGACATGGTAATAGAACACTTCTTTTGGCCATATATGAGGAAAATCATAGAAAATATATGTTTTTCATGCATCACCTAAAAGAAATCAAATCAAAGGTAAATCCTAATGGTTTATATACTCCATTGTCAGTTTATTCCTCTATTTGGATAGATTTATCTATAGATTTTATTCTAGGCTTACCTCGTACCAAGAGAGGATAAGATATTATATTTATGGTTGTTGACAGGTTTTCAAAGATGGAACATTTTATTCCATGCCACAAAATTGATAATGCAACACATATCACCGACCTTTTCTTTACGGAATTCCTTCGACTTCATGAAATTCCTCCTACAATTGTGTTCGATTGTGATACAAAGTTCATAAGCCACTTCTAGAAGGTATTGTGGGGTAAAATTGGTATAAAACTTCTTTATTCAACAACTTTTCATCCTTAAACGGATGAAAAAACTGAGGTAATCAATTAAATTCTAGGTTCTTTACTTAAAACGGTAGAAGGTAAGAACACATGTAATTGGGAAGAATGTCTACCTTTTGTTGAGTTTGCTTACAACATATCGATCCACTCCACTACAGGTTATTCTTCATTCCTGATAGTTTATGGATTTAATCTATTAACTACTTTGGATCTTGTTCTTTTACCTTTAGAACATATTGCTAGCATTGATGGTGAACAAAAAGTTGCCTTTGTCAAAGACCTTCACGCCAAAGCCAAGAAAAGGATGGAGAAAACATATGAAGTCGTGGCATAAAGAGTCAACAAAGGAAGACTCTAAACTTAACCCATGAGGCGATATGCCATTCCAAGTCCTTGAAAGTATCAATGACTATGCATATCGCATTGATCTTCCAAGTGAGTATGACATAAGTGCATCTTTTAATGTCTCTAACCTATCTCCCTTTGATGTTCCAAATTTGTGGACGAATACTTCTAAGGAAAGGATAGATGATACATGCACCACACACCACTTTTCCAAAGATGATGGGTTAACTCTTCCACCTGACCTAATTACAATAAAATTTTAAGGAATGAAACTCATTCATCCTTCCTCCTACTGCTACTTGGACCTCCATTACCCAAGTTAAAGATAACCTAGGACCAAATTGCAAGATTCATGAAGATGGCACTGAAATTAATTTCAAACCCCTTGAATTACTAAAACATTTATAAAGCATAAATCACTTTTCCTAAGTAGATTTTAGTTATTTACATTGTTTTCTTTATTTTATTAGGATCAGGCCCAAAGATGGTAATTGTTTGTAATTACAAACTTTTAGGAAAGCCCATCATTTCCACCTTACCCTATATGGCTGACCCTTCATTGTTCTCTAAGGTATTTCCACCCCCTTCATCTTATAAAAGACTCATATGGACCATCCATCAAGCTAGAGGTTTCATCAAGCATTCAAGACCCTTGATTTTATCATAACCATTGGATTAAGCACTACATCAACGACCAACAATCATGCCACCCATTCTAGTGTTATTAGGACATGTTTTTATTATTATTTTATTACATACTTTTCCTCTTTCAAGGAATCTCCCTCACCTATATAAAGGAGGCTCCCCCTTCATTGTTTTACATAATCTTTTCTTTGAATAATAATACAACGTGAGTACAATTTTACAAGGGCTAATTGCCTTGTGCCTTTGAAGCATATTTTTAATTATGTTTTTCCAAGTTCTTGAGAAAGAGATCTTCACACTACGGTTTGCCTTCTTATTGCAGTTAGGAGGCCTTTGCCTTATGCCTTTGAAGCATATTTTCATTTAAGTTCTTCCAAGTTCTTAAGAAAGAGATCTTCACACTCCGATTTTGCCTTCTTATTGCAATTAGGAAGGCTGGTTAGAGCCGTAATGCCGAGTTTACCTTTCCATTATAAGTAAGAGGTTTTTGTTAAGCATATACCTACCATGAGAAAACTTTTAAATATCATTCTATTAAGATCAGACCGTCAAAATCTATCTACAACAGTCCCTTTTCGCCTACCATAAAGGATGATAAACTTAATTCCTTTATTATATTTTGTCTTTTAGTTTCTTTGTTTACTTTGTTTCCCTTTTTGTCTTTAGAATTCTATTATCCTTATTTTATTCTCTTAACCTATTCTTCTTATCGTAATCTCAACAACTAATATCCCTATTCCAATTACATTGTTGTCACCCATATTATTCATTCATCTTCTCATTCTTATCGAGTCTAGAGCTTTCTAGGTTTGATTCCTTGGTGAAGAGCAACGATCATCATCCGATGTTGCTTCTCTATAACACAATTTTTGTGTTGGAGAACAATATCTAACAAAGACGAAAAATTTAAGCTTAGTAGCTCTAGAAAACAAATAAAGAGTTAGACTTCAATTGAACGAGAATGCAAGAAAATAAGGAATATGCAAACTCTTTTAATCCTAATAAAAAATTAAAACAATGTGTTAGATGGTGTAATAGAACAAGAAAGGTAAAAACAAAAGATCTTAAAGCAATAAGAGTCAAGAAAGAGTAGGAAACCCAAACCCGGGAAACCTAGAAATGTCGAATAAACTTGAGTAATGTATTTGAAGGGGTTGAAAATGTCCAAATGAATTGAAATTTTATGTGGAGGTTGATATTTGGCTTTATAATTAGTATGTAAAATTCTAGATCCAAATTCTTTCAATAGCTTTTTTTCAAACGAAAAACTCTAAATTTGTCGACTTTGCATGATCAATGTATTTGAATAGAGGTTTTGGTGTTTGAATGACCTAATTTTATTTTACTGGAGTCCTCTCTTGGGATAAAAAATACTTGTGTATAATTTTAGTGGAATTTTTTAAAACATTTTCAAACGAACAATCCTAAATCTACCACTCAAACTTATATGACACTTTTTAATGGGTTTTTGATGTCATATGGACCTGAATTTTAATTGGATACCTCTCTTGGGATGAAAAATGTACCCTTAAAAAATTAGCTCCAAATATCTTCATTTGTTTTTTTTGGATTTTTTTTGTTTTTTCATCATTTTTCCATTTTTTTGTTGTACTTTTTTATGTGCAAAAAACAATATAAAAATAAATAATTGAAAACAAATCAAAACAATTCACAAAGAACATGAAATTGACTAATCATTGCGAACTAGCTCCGTTGGGTACCTTGACGGTTTATGCATGTAAGCACAAGCAAGATTGCTTTGTTTTCTCCAAGAATCAATCTAAATCTGATACCAATTGATAGTAGATAGTAGCATATAGATGAACGTTGCTCAAAGTTGAAGAATCAAGCATATGGATATAGACTTAATCAAAGAACGAGATTGGATTGTATTAGGGTTTTATCGCAAACTAGGGTTTCTTAAATAAGGAAGTTACTGGAAATCATATAGGAGGATGATGATTAATGAAATATTGTTATAAATATGATAACTATGTAAAAGAATTATGAAAAGATAAATAAAGATATGAAATAACTCAAATTGAAAATCCCCCTGGTATGCATAAGCTTAGAGTGAAAAAGGCTACGGTGATGTGTTTATTGTGGTATGATTATGGTGATGATAAGAATAAGCACTACAATAAAATTGTACATTTACAACATTTTTTTACCTGTAGCGGCACTTTTAAGCGCAACAAAAAACACTTGCGGTGATATGACAAACGCCGCAAAGAGCGCCAGGGAAAATAACGCCGCTAAAGTTTGCGGCGTTTGATAAAAAAACAATGTCGTAACAGGTAACGAGATATAGTGGCATTTTTCCAACAAACGCCGCAATATGTGTAAAGATTAGCGGCTTTTGTCCCACAAACGCCACAATATGTGTTGAGATTTAGCAGCGTTTGTCCCACAAACGCCGCAATAGGTATTGAGATTTAACGGCATTTTTCCACAAACGCCACAATAGGTGTTGAGATTTAGTGGTGTTTTTCCCACAAACGCCGTAATAGGTATTGAGATTTAGTGGCGTTTTTATAAATGCCTCAAAAGGTTAAGATATTTCGCGAAGTTTTTTGGATACAAACGCCGCAAAAAGTATGGTATATAATGGCGTTTTTAAGATACAAACGTCACAAAAGGTGTGGTCTATAGCGACATTTTTAGTTACAAACGTCGATATTGTTTTTTATATTTAGCGGTGTTTTTTACAAACGCCGCTAAAAAACACATAATTTAAACAATTTAAATATTTTTTCGATTACCCCAAATCTATTTTTTTTCAACATGTTCCATTATCCAATAAACATGACATCAATAGCATCAAACTCTATATCAATAACAAGCAACATCAAATCCAGTATAATAAATAAAAGTTTTAATTAACGTAATATCAATTCAGTTAAACACGGTTCAGTAACATTAACACTACTGATAACATAAATGAGACTATGATGATGGATTCTGAGGTTGCGTTTTCTGTAACATCTACACCATAGTGTTGAGTCGTTTTTCAGATTCTTGACATTTCTGCTGATATGTTGCTTCTCTCTGTGCTGCCGCTGCTTCTCTCTATGCTTCTGCTGTAGCTCTCTCTGCTTCCCTTGCTTCATTTTCAACTTTCATGTTAGCCATTTGTTGATCCATTTCAGCCAACTTTTGTTTTAAACGACTAACTTATAATTGGGAAGACTGAGACTGTGATGTCATGTATTGAGATGAACTGGATCCAAAATATTTAGTGGGAGTAACGAATTATCCTTGACAGCGCACCCGGCCATATCTTTCAGGACCCAAAACATCTTTAATAGCTTGGTTTTCAATGTCATCCTCATTAACAAGACCTTGACTCGAAGTCGTAGCTTGATACTCCACCCTTTTCACCCTCAATTTTTCCTAATAATAAAGTAAATAATTAATTCAAATAAATATATCATGCTACATATATAAATAAAACATAATTCCAAAACTGTATCTGTAATACCCAAAAAATTCAAATAATGACCAAAATGTAAATTTTGAAAGTTTGATGGTCAAAGTAGAAAATTTGGAAAAGTTTAAGGAATTAAGTGGTGATTTTTCCTAAAAAGAATTTTATTTCATAAATGGATTTATTTAATGACCAAATTATAAATTTGGTAAAGTTTAGTGATCAAAGTATAAACTTTGGAAAGTTCAAGGACCAAAATGTAATTTTGGAAAAATTTCAAATGGGTCAAGAAAATAAGAAATAAAAAATATTATTTTCGCATTTTTAAAATGTTGAAAAATAATATTTAATGGTTTAATTTCATGTTTTATTTGAATTATTTGATTAAAGTGACTGAATTGCAATTTTTGGAAATTAAAAAGGCAAAACGATAAAGTGGAAAATTAATTTGTTCATCTTTGACTATTGAAAGATGACAAGGCTGATATTTAATTGAATTAGAAGATTGATAAGGATATGTAACTTGGTTTTATGGTAATTATGAAGTTTTATTAAGGGTATATTGGTATTTTCCCAAGTTAATGATAATTAAAGGATGATAAGCATGATATCAATCAAAAATATCATGCCAAAGTGTTCTTCTCCAGCATATTCACGTGAGAAAGCTTCCAAGGTAAGAAAAATATTTTATTTTCAATTTTTGAGCTAATTCCTTTGGAATTGGAGTTGTGTCGTGAGATAGGAAAGTGATCTAAGCGAAAAAAGCTATCATTTGGTACCAATATTGCTTTCTAATCTTGTTGGATTTCAAATATCCCAAATCTAAGGGTTTATGTTCATAATAGGATTCATCAAATTGATGATAAATCTTGATGATTTACATGTTGTAGATTCATATTCAAGTATGTATGATGATTAGAACATATTTAACCTTTCTAAAACTTGTTCTTTAAGTTTTGGCCATGAATGGTTTTAGTGAGAAAAATTATGGAAAAATTATATATGGCTTGGAAATGATGAAGGAAATATTCTACAAGCCTTAGGAAAATTAGGGACAATTTCGTAAGTTTTGAAAAGTTGGGAATCAATTTGTAAATTTTGGAAAATTGATGGGTTATTGTGTAAGTGATATATAATTGATGTACTATGTTGGAAATTATTATTTGGGAATTTAAATGAGTGTTATATGTGAAAAATGACTATTTTGGAAGTTTGAAAAGATTGATGATTTAAGTACAAAACTTGCATAGTTGGAGTACTTAAATGTAATTATGCCTTTGAAAAGCATTTGAATGATAGTAATTTCAATGCTGAAATTTTTGATATTAAGAATGTAAGTGATAAAATGGTGAAGGACCATTTTGTGTAAATTGGAAAAGTTGATTCCAATGTTAAAGGAATTATTAAGAGATAAATATTTTGATAGATAATGAGTTTCAAATATATTATGGAGTTATTATGGGATATGTTTTTGTTAGTACAATACTAACATATTTATCGTTATGAATTGACGATTTATACAGATTGTGATTGATTTGTAATCGAAGAAAATCAAATATAACAGGCCTTATGGTGGACATTAGCGAGGCTCATATATTTTGAAAGACATAAAGTGTCAAGGTGAGTGCAATACATGCATGAAATTATACATTGATGTTTTATAGATCATCAGGAAGACTTGCGATAAGTCGACCTTGTTTATATCGACATGATTTTATATCATTTTTATAGATTGACATTGATATGTTAGAGTATGAAATTAAAATGCATTGATCATGAAAAATGTGATATTTTACCATGAATGTTTTTGGGTATGAACTGCCCCATTGTTAAATATTGATAATATACTTTGCCATGGATGAATCAAATAAAATAGATTGTACGCCCAAGTCAGTTATTGAGGGACAGGGTATAGTTGGCATGCCATAGAGTCCAACAGCAGGCTGCATACGGGATACACTAAAGGATACCTAGTGTATATGGTGGATACGGCCTTATGTGCCATACGGGACTGTACTTAAGGATACCTAGTACATATGGTGGACACGACCTTATGTGTCATACGGATTAGCACTACGGTGCTTATATTTGACTCGTGTACCCAGGGTCCTCAGGGTTGTATATTGGGCTATTGTCTATGGTATATGGTTATGAAATAATGGCAAGTGTATTGGTAAAATAAGCTTACAAGCTTATGGAACAAATGGTAAGTATAATGGTAAGATAAGCTTATGAGCTTATGGGATAAATGATAAGTATTTTGATAAAATAAGCTTACGAGCTTATGGTTAATAAATGGTAAAAATATTTAATATGCAAATAAAATGATTTTATGGCATTTTGAATTTGATATTGAAAATCATGCATGAATTTTATTGCACTGTTTATTCTTTTAAATTGCCTCACTAAGTATACACTTAGCGTGTGATGATTTTCACGCGTAGGTAAAAAGCCAGTACTGGAATAAAGAGTTCAAAGTGAATCAAGCATCGAGGAGTATATTGCAATATCAGTACGACATCTTATGATGCAATTTGAATTAGATAGTGGCATGTAAATAAGAATATTCAATTTGTTTTGTTGAATAAATTTGGAAACAAAATGGAAACTTTATAGTGATGAAATGTTAAGTTTTACGAATTTTAAAGATATATATTTTTGAAAGTACTGTATCAGTTACTGTAGCTTACGGTTGTAGTTATTGTAGCAGTGAATAGTAAACATTTTAAGCAAAATTTTCCAGAATGCATTTGGGGTACCGATACCCCCATACAGGGTACCGATTCCCCCACTGTTCACGGGTTACTGTTTACTGTTATTGTTCACTCTTCACTATTTAAAAAATATCTTTTGAATTAAATTGGTTACAACGAAACATGATTTATATGATATGAAATTTTATTTATAATATTATTTACCATTCTAAGAAAATAAATTTTAAATCACTGGTAAAAAGTGGAAAAGCTTTACAAAATTCAGGTGACATCTTTAATATGTATAGGTATAATTATACGGGTTATGGGTGT